TAAGAAGAGCAGAGGGGTGAAGAATGGAACCAGTTCAGTAAAGGCTCTTCTGAAGAAGAGGGTTTTGAGTCTGGATTTGAAGGAGTTTAGCGAAGGTGAAATGAACGTACACACAGACAGGGCCAGCTGTATCACCCTGCAGCTCACACTGTCGGCCCACTGGAGCTCAGCAGGTGTGAGTCTGGTCAGTACCTGGATGGGAGACCTCCTGGGACAAACTAAGGCTGCTGCTGGAAGAGATGTTAGTGGGGCCAGCAGGGGGCGCTCACCCTGTGGTCTGTGTGGGTCCTAATGCCCCAGTATAGTGACACTATACTGTCAAAAGGCACTGTCCTTCAAATCAGCCGTAAAACCAAGGACCAAGGGGAACCAAATTTCCCCCTGGCCTTTACCAGTCATGGCCTCCTGATAACCCCCCTCTCTGAACTGGCTTCATCACTCTGCTCTCCTCCCCACTTAGAGCTGGTGTGTGTGAGCAGACTGGTGCATCATCCAGGTGGGGCTGCACACTGGTGGTAGAGGAGGGGATCCCCAAAACCTGTAAAGCTCTTTGAGTAGAGTGTCCAGAAAGTGCTATAGAAGAGTGGGGCATAACACCAATCTCATTGTGCAGCCGGGGACACTTCCGAGGGGAGGGGGTGGGGTGCGCGCCTCGCTCACGGGCTGTGGCGCTGTGTGCTCGGCAGGTGGAGAACTCGAAGGTGTCGGCGGAGTACGGCGCGCCCCCCATCGTGGTCTACGAGAAGAGAGACGCGCGCTGGACGCTGAAGGACAAGCACCAGTGAGTGAGCTCTCTCTCTCCGCCCGCCTGGTCACCCCCGCTGATGATGGGCTGGAGTGTGTGCTGCCCTCGTCCGTGAGGGAGCGCCCCCTGGTGGTCGCGGGTGTGTGCAAAGGGCTGTGGGATCTGTCCGGATGGACGGTGCTGCGGTTTAATCAATGAATCGGTGTTTCCTGTCAAGACCGTTAAGAGAGGCTCTTCGTTACCGGTTCGGTGGCTGAGGCTCGTTACAAATCTGAGCTGGAAGTGGAAGGAGGAAACGCTGGGGCCCTGGGATTCTCTCTTCCAGCTGTCTGGCCAGTCCCTGAATCCGGTGTGTGTGTGTTTGTGTCCCAGGATCATGCTGCGGCACTGGGAGCAGACGCGCGCCGTCGCCGAGGAGCTGCGGGCGGACAGGGCCCAGGCGCTGCTGGTGGACTTCGACAGCCACCTGGACGACCTGCGCCGCGACTGGACCAACCCGGAGCTCAACGCCAGGATCGCCGAGCTCCGCGCGCCGGCCGGCGCCGGCCTCTGAGCGGGGGCGGGAGTCCGGGGGGAGATCAAGCGGCATGCTGGGGCGCAGAAGCAGCGGGTTCCCTCCTCTCCCCCCCCCAGAGAGGCCAGTGGGTTCTCTCTGCAGGGCGGGGCAGGGGTCAGAGTTCACGGCCCGAGTTCTGCGCTCTGCATGCCCCTCGCAAGCGGGGCTACAGCCTGCTGTTCGGCCTCCTCCGCCAGTTAACGCCCCCAAACAGAGAGAGACTGGGGGGGAGGGTCTCCTCCGGGCTGTGGGCGAGCAGGGGGAGAATCTGTGTCTGGGGGTGGGGCAGAGTTCTCTTGTGCCAGGAGGGAGGAGGTCAGGGCACAGTGGGGGAGGTGTTGGGAATGTGGGAAAGTGGGGTGTGGGCTGTAGAGATGCTTTGTGAATGTCCTGTTTCAAGACGATAATAAAGCAAAGCGACTCAACACCTGGGCTGAGCTGCTGGAGGACAAGCGGAGTGTGGAGGAGAGGATTAATCGGACCGGCCCGCGTCACGTCATCCGGTTCTCCGAGTCTTACAGTCGCTTCCCACGGTGCCGGAAGAGGGGGTTTAAATCCTGTTCCTGTCTCCCTGAGCACGCACGCTGCCCCAGACACCCCCCTTGAGGCTGGGGGCGCGAGGGTGCAGGGACCCCAACTCAGCGGTCAGTGCGCCAGCCCCAGAGCGAGAGAGCTCCTGCGGAGGGTGGGGCCAGGGGCCGTCCAGTCCCGGTCCTGGAGGGGGTTTTCTCTCTAAAGCAAAGGAGTTGTGTCCCTTGTCCAGTTACTCCAGTAAGGAGGCGATTCAGGGTATCGGGACTAGATACAGTGGGACGAGGGACACCTGCACCAGACACTGTGACCCCCCACCTCCAGGAACAGGGTTGGACAGTCCCCATAGACACGCTCCAGGAGCAGATGATGAGAACCCTGCTGCAGACATACTGACCCCTCCAAGACCAGGACTGGACAGCCCCGCTGCAGACACACTGAGTGACCCCTCCAGGACCAGGACTGGACAGCCCTGCTGCAGACACACT